AAAAGTGAGACTCTGTCTCAAAAAAAAAAAAAAAAAGTAAGGGGCCGGACATAGTGGCTCACACCTGTAATCCTAGCACTTTGGGAGGCCAAGGTGGGAGGATCGCTTGAGGTCAGGGGTTTGAGACCAGCCTGAGCAAGAGCAAGACCCCATCTCTACAAAAAAATAGAAAAATTAGCCAGGCGTCGTGGCACATGCCTGTAAGTCCCAGATACTCAGGAGGCTGAGGCAGGAGGTATCACTTGAGCCCAGGAGTTTGAGGTTGCAGTGAGCTTTGAGGATGCCACTGCACTCTAGCCCAGGTGACAGAGTGAGACCTTGTCTCAAAAAACAAATAAAAAATAAGTGTTATTTTAAAAAACCCACATGTATGTACATGTATAAAAACATTAAGGAACAGATAATAAAACAGTAACAAGGTCGGATGGGGGGGAAAAAAGGAATACCCAGCAAGAACCATATATGACCACTAAAATATATCCCACAAAATAAAGTTCAAATATTGTTGCATTAAGTTGAATTCCAACATATTACTGTATTTGAGATAAGATTAGGGTTGTTTTTTAGTCCTGTACATTTTTGGAAATGTGATTAAACTACATTTAAAATGAAAAAATAGTGGTTACTATGTTAGAAAGTAGGTCTCCTAACTTTCATTTCTTTCCCTGCCTTCTGAGAAAAGTTAGAAGAACTCTAAATCTAATTCAGAGGTGGGAAAAAGGATTGACTGCAAATGGTCATAAAGGATAATTTATAGGTAAAGAAAATGCTCTAAAACTGGATTACAATGATGGTTGCCCTACTCTGTAAATCTAAATATCATTAAATTAAAATGGATAAATTTTATAGTACATAAATAATGCCTCAAAAAAGCTTTTGAAAACAATCCATGGAGGCAATTATCCTACATGAAGTAACTCAGGAACAGAAAAACACCACATGTTCTCGTTTATAAACAGGATCTAAACTACGGCTACACAAGGGCACACAGAGTGCTATGATGGACAATGGTGACTCACAAGAGGGAAGAGAGGGAGTGAGGGATGAAAAATTACCCACGGGGTACAATGTACGCTACCCACGTGATAGGTCCACCAAAAGCCCAGACTCCACCACTATACAATATATACATGTAACAGAATTTAACCTGTATCCCCACATCTATTAAAATAATAATAAAAATTCAATACCATAGGGAAAATATTTCATTTCTAACTGGCTTTAAATAGCTAAAGGATAACTGGAAAAAGGCTATTTTCTCTATTCTCATTTTACTTACCAAGTATGACTTCTGGGTAACCAATTTTCTTTCCCAACTTTTTCAATACAGAATTTCTGTGGTCCATTGCTCCCTAAAATATAATGAAACCATGAACAGTCGGTTAGCATAATGATTCTCAAAATGTGCTCCCTAATCCAGCAGTATCAGTATCACCAGGGAACTTGTAAGAATCACAAATCCACATGGCCTACATACACCTCAGCCTACTGAATCAGAAACTCCAGGAGTGGTGCTCAGCAATAAGTTTTACGTAGCATTCCTTAGCCAGAATAACACACGGTTGTGATTAATAATAGCTCACATTAAGAACACACAAAAAGCTTAATTTTAGTAGTTTTATATACAATAAGGAAACTACATTCCATTGTCTTACACAATAAAACTTGACTTAAATACAGAATTGTTAAAACTTTATGAAACATAAACATTGTAGTGAATTTAATATTGATAATGCTTGAACTTACAGGTCCTGTAGGGCATACCATTACATACCCACACCCGCACCCCAATTCTTATCTCTCATTTACCTTCTGTTGGAGATAGCTGTGAATGGTGATCATAAAGCAATGGTTTTCTAACAGGTCAGTACTGCTCCCTAGGAAGCATTTGTTGGTGATCACAATGACTGGTAGCGCTACTAGATTTTTTAATTAGAAGGGGCAAATGTTCTGCAACATGTGGGACTGTCAGGCACTGAGAATTTTCTCATGTCCCACCTGACTAAAACTAGTACAAATATAAATTGTAGTACTTTTGTATTTAATAACACTGAATTGTTTTCACAAGTAGTTATGTAAAAAATCCAGTAATATAGGAAACAGTATGAAAAAGGATGTTTAAAGTTATTTGGTGGTGTTACACACACATTAAAGTTAACTCTGCGTGCTCTCTCTACTCGATATATTAGAAAATTTCTTCTTTTTTAAGATGGAGTCTTACTATGTTGTCCAGGCTAGAGTGCAGTAGCTATTCACAGGTGCAATCATAGATGCTAAACCCTTGAACACCTGAGGTCAAGTGATGCTCCTGCTTCAGGCTCCTGAGTAGCTAGGACTACAGGCTTGTACCATCACACTCAGCAGTATTTCTAACTACATAGATGGAAAGGCGTTTAACAGTGCAAGTTAATATGTAATAAAGAAGATTGTGAATTGCTTATAATAGATTTAGAATCAAATATTTTAATAGCAGACACATGAAAGAAATTTTAGTGGATTTCATTAATAAAGACTATTTTACAAATATGTTACTATCATCCTGACTACTTTCTAAAATTTTATGAAACGATAAGAAATCTAGTTGTAAAAATTATATAATGAAATTATTTTTAGTTTGTCTGTTGTTTTCAATCTTACTTGGACAATGTCCCTAAATCATACAACTGCCATGTAGACTCTTACACCTATGTTCCTATTTTCACGCACATTTCAAATGTGGTCTCAGAGGCCTTTTTACGTATCAGAATCGTGGTCTGCAGTGGGATCTCATGAAAGGAGATATATTTTCATACTATAATTTTAAGATCTACATCATTTTTCTCCAGTTTGACAATCTATAAATAATTTTGGCAGGTGTATTGTCCTTATGTTATTTAGGTTATTTCCCTCTTTTTCTTATCATATATATTTGTCAATTATTTCTCATCTTTTTCATCACTTCTTTCATTTTCCAATGCTGCTTATAAAGAATGGCTTCTGATCTTCTTTTAAATCCAAACCTTTTCTTGTAAGTAGGAATAAGTATCTGACTACTTAATTATATCTTCTAACATAGTTATATCTAAATATACATGTATTGAAATACATATTATTTCATTATAAATCATTTTTAAAAAATTTCTCCTTTATATTACAGTCAATGCTATGAATATGTATTCTTCGGAGATTGTAGATAGGTTATTTCATCTAAAAATCAGAATATTAAAGGACATATATTATAAATATTTATTAATGAAAATGGGATGTTGGATCTGGTAAGGTCAAGAACCACTGAATTAAAGAACTCCTGACTGACCTCAAGTGATCTTCCCACCTCGGCCTTGCAGAATGCTAGGATTACAGGCGTGAACCATAGCACCCAGCCTGAATGAACAGATTTATATAAACACTGTTATCCTACTGAGTTAAACTGTGCATTTCAGCCTGAGCATGAAAAATTTCTACAGAAGGACCACAAAATGGTTTAAAAGTTTATACAAATGCAGAGTAACTGGGACTAGTTAAGAAAATGGTTATCTTTGTCTTTGTTGTTTCTGATAAGCTGTATACACATGTATGTAAAGTAGTGTGATAAATAATTTTCTGTACAGGAAAAATGACCCTGTATACATACCCATGAGATCAGCGAATCCTCCTACTGGCAATCGGCAGGTTCCAGTTACAAACTGCAGAAGTCTCATTCTCTTCTCATTATCTATTTCTTTAACAAACTGTTAAAAGCACATTTAAAGAGATATGTAAGTCATATATTACATTCATTAAATTAAAGAAGAAAGAAAAACAATCATTTCAAATCATAAAGGAACCTGCTATGTCCACTGCACTAGATAATTACTTTACCCAACAATATAGGTAGAGAGGGCATTTCCATGTTTGTCAAAGCCCCACACACCTTCCCCTAAATAATTCTTAGGACCGCATCTTTATTTTTATTTTTTTGAGACAGAGTCTCGCTCTGTTGCCCCGGCTACAGTGAGTACCGTGGCGTCAGCCTAGCTCACAGCAACCTCAAACTCCTGGGCTCAAGCGATCCTACTGCCTCAGCCTCCCAAGTAGCTGGCACTACAGGCATGTGCCACCATGCCTGGCTAATTTTTTCCATATATTCTTAGTTGTCCAGATAATTTCTTTCTATTTTTTTTAGTAGAGATGGGGTCTCACTCTTCCTCAGGCTGGTCTCGAACTCCTGAGCTCAAACAATCCGCCCACCTTGGCCTCCCAGAGTGCTAGGATTACAGGCGTGAGTGAGGCACCGTGCCCGGCCAGGACCGCATCTTTAAAGGGAGATGGAAAAAGAGGAGTGGTCTGGGCCTGAGAGCTCCCTATTCATGCAGTTTCAAGATCAGCCCTTTTAGGGCAGCACCTCCTTTCCCCTGGATCTGCCTCAGCCTCCCAAGTAGCTGGGACTACAGGTGCACACCACTGCGCCCAGCTGATTTTTCTATTTTTAGTAGAGACAGGGCCTCGCTCTTGCTAAGGCTGGTCTTGAATGATACACACTGGTACATTTTGTTTTGTAACTCATTTCCAAATGTGCTAAACAAATTCTAAGAAATTATACCAACAGAAATAAATTTAGAAACAAACCTGCCAAAACCACATGATTTGTTTGCTTGTCCTTGTGTAATGACGGTAGATGGCATGTCTTTGCCAGTCATTCAAATCAATCTCTTGCATTCCACATAAAAGGACCTTTAGGGATGAAAAAGACAAATTGTTTCTTTAGGTAACTATACAAAAAATGTTGGACATAGATAAGGAAAGACTAATATTAAACACAGTTTATAAAAACAAATTAATCAGCAGGCTTTGGTTTGTAAACTGTACGTCAAGAATTATATCTACATTACTCATGAAGGTGAAGTTCCATGTATGATGTCATATATATACACATATTCAGGGAAATAAGTCACTCAATTGTAGAGAAGCCCTAACAGTAATACTATTTTTGGGGGATGGTAATACTCTTCTTTTATCTTTGCATAAATTGTGGTTCTCTATAACCACTGGGGAAGCTTCAAAACAACTTGCTAGCAAAAAATACTACTGCAACTGGAAAGATGGGAAAGTGAGTTGAAAGAAGACATTTGAAGGCATTGTTTACTATTATGCTGCAGGACAATGAAGGAAATCTCATTACCTCTAATTCCTTTGCATCAAAGTATTGCAAATACTGCTGGGGAAGAATTTCATTAAAGCCCTCAAAGAAAGCTTGTGTCTGTTCTTCAACACCTCGAGATAACCTCCATTCAGCTACCATTCTGGCAAATAAATATAAAAAAGCTATTAGGAACTTTAGATTTTACCTTTAAATTCTAAGTATAAAAATAAAATTTAAAAACGTATTATGAAAAACCTCAAATATAGCCTAGAGTATAATGAACCCCTTGTACACATATCTAAGCTTCATCACAACGCCAATTTTATTTCATCTATGCCCCTACTCACACTTGATGTATCATATAACTTCATTTCATTTAATTATTTAATTAATTTTTGTGACAGGGTCTTGCTCTGTGTTACCTGGGCTAGAGTGCAATGGTGTCATCATAGCTCATTGCAACCTCAAATTCCTGGGCTTGAGCAATCCTCCTGCCTCAACTTCCCAAGTAGCTGGGACTATAGGCATGTGCCACCATGGCCAGCTAATTTTTCTATTTTTTGTAGAGATAGGGTCTTGCTCTTGCTCAATCTGGTATCAAACTCCTGGTCTCAGACTCCCAGTCTCAAGCGATCCTCCCTCGCCTTGGCCTCCCAAAGTGCTAGGATTACAGGCATTAGGTAGTGTGCCCATCCTATAATTTCTTTTTAAACAAATATTTCAGTATATGTCCATAGAAATTGAAGATTCTTTTGAAAAACATAAACCATAAAAACATAAACACACCATTATTCTATAATCCTAGAATTCTACATCTAGTAAAAACATCCTTTAAAAGTGAATGTGAAATAAAGATGTTTTCACATAAAAGCTGAGAAAATTTATTGCTAGTAGATGCACACTATGAGAAATGGTAGAGAAAGTTTTTTTTTTTTTTTTGAGACAGAGTCTCACTCTTTTGCCCGGGCTAGAGTGAGTGCCGTGGCGTCAGCTTAGCTCACAGCAACCTCACACTCCTGGGCTCAAGTGATCCTCCTGCCTCAACCTCCCGGTAGCTGGGACTACAGGCATGCGCCACCATGCCCGGCTAATTTTTTCTATATATTTTTAGTTGTCCAATTAATTTCTTTCTAATTTTAGTAGAG